GTAAATTTGTTATTTCAGTGAGCTAACAACGTCCAGTTTGAACTTATCTGAATCGATCGGGTGAAGAAGCCAGTAGTTTCTTTCGTAAACGTTTTAAGCAGTTTTCTAGGCTCATCCGCTCTTGAAGTATTTCCATATTTCAGTAATATTTCATCCCCACTTGAATTTGAATGTATTTGTAGACAGGAGAGTTGGCAGTACCTTTTTTAATTGAGTCGAAAGTGTGCCGTCTCATGACTTCAGCCATTGTGCATATGGCGGCCTGCTTCAAACAGTCAAAACGTTGAAAATTAGTGAAAACTATCCATGTTCAGCCAGCCGTAATTTTCCGAACCTTCTCATTCATTCCTGGAGACAGTTTTTGAGTTTTTTTCTCAATAAAAAGCAGGAAAACAAGCGGAAGGCTGTAGTATTTTTCATCTTGGTTGTGAATATCTTGAAGTTTGAAGTACGACAGTTTTTTTTTCTCAATCTCATGTTGAGTTCTTGAGGTTTTCTTTTGATGCCTTTTTTGCTTTGCATTTATATGTTTTGCAAAATAAAGCCTCACTTTTGTTAACTAGTATTTCAGAAAACTTTAAATTTTAGCTAAACTCTTTCAAAGTAAACTAAAACTTCGCCTTTTGAGCGACTAAAACACTACATGACTTTTGGCACGTACAGGAAGCCCTTCCAATGCAGTTCTCGTTTGACATGCGCTGTCAACTTTACTTTTTGTTGCTACGCGCTTGGGCCATAAGGCAGTGGAAAAAACTCGGTCCATAACTTACGGTACGGACCTCGCACTCGGTTAATAAGAGCTATGTATTCTGGGAAAAAAAGTTTAGCTTACATATGTAACCTTTGCAACAGAAAAGGTGTGGAAACGGATTTGGGTAGGGCAAGATCTCCCCAATAATACTAGATAGTTTATGGGGTTGATGATAAATTCGTGGCATAGGTTTCAAGTCCAGGATGTGTTTTGTTATGACTGCATCACTTAAGTCTAATGTAGGAAAGATGAGACTGCCCTAAATTTCTTTTCGCTTAGCTGTTGTGACCGGTGGTGTCAAATAATAATAATGATGATCTAAACAAAACTACAAGACTAAACTAGGACTGTCCGCCATCTTTAATTCCAACAACACACACGAAAATCATGTGGTCGCCCGTAAGGGCCTGGTAACGAATACATAATTAATATTTTCATAACATTAGCCAACAGCAAGATATGTTCTCTTACCAACAGCTAAAAAGGATTGGAGGCCCGTAGCTAAACACAGCAGTCTTACCTAAACACAGGCTTACCTGAGATGGAATACCTCGGTGTGCATGGGTTCAGGTGGGAGCCCTTTAGCTTTATATTCCTCGAACTGTTTTTACTTAGTTTAATTTGATTTCACTGCTAATATTGCCGATCAAGAATATCGGTTTTGCTACCTTATAGTGTTTGGAAATTAGGTTATATCATATCATATATCCGTTGAGTGTCCATCTAGGTCGTTTGGCGTGCATTCGTTTAATTATGAAGCTCTATGATAATAATAGTTAATTTTTGGCTGTTTGGCTCCCCGTAGTAAAATTAAGTATTAATTGTTTTTAAGTATTGTCAAGAAAGAGAAGAAAAAAAATCAATGAAGCCTATATCTTCTGACTTTATTTTAATTTTCAACTTTAATCTTATTTGGGTTCCCTGTGCCTTGTGACTTCCAGCCCAACAAAGTTTGGGCTTCCTGTGGTTACTGTCGACAAAACGGCAAACCAAGGAGAAAGAAGCCAAAATGCCGTGGAAAGTATACGACGGGAGAGAACCGATTGAAGTGTTTTTGAATGGAAACAGACCTTCGAATATCCAGCAAAGTATATGTCCATGGGTATTTGTACCTTGTCAACATGAAGAACTGAGTGATGACAACAAGGATGAGGCAGACACGAATGGTGCACTTCCGTTGATGATTGCCGAGTGGAAAGGTTTGGTGAAGTCTCTAAAACATGTTACAGCAGAAACCCTGAAGGACTTGGCCGTAAAATACAAATACACATCAGGAAAATGGATGATATTTGCTAACAGGTTAGTTTCGCAACGAAAATAACTATCGTATTCTTGGTTTGCAATCAATCCCAAGAGAGCACAATAACAAAAGGGATGTCCGCCATGTTGGAAGATATAACAAAAAAATTCATTGAAAAATCTTTTGTCAAATTCTTCCAACATGGTGGCTATGACGTGTATTGCAAACGAAGAATTTTAAGTCAAAAATCAAATGTGCTTCCTAAGCACAAATATAAATCTTGGCACATAAATTAGATACATTATTCTTTGTATTTCTTAAAGCCTAATCCTAAACTCTTTTTACTTAATGCACATTTAACCTCTCAAATATTCTATATTCTTTATTTCTATGAGGTTTTAGCTGTACTTAAAACCAGTTTGGATTTGTGTTGTGACTACACCACAGGAAGCCCAATATCTTTTTTGGGTGTGCTATAGGTTTCATTATGCAAATGAAAATGTTTTTAAGAAAATAAGAAAATGATGGTAACCAATCAGAATTTATGAAAGTTGAGACCCAATACATTGGTACATTGCTTTCATATTTCAGATGATGTCATTCCCCTGTTTATTATTATTCCCTTCCAGCTGATCTGATATGTCTAAAGGTGTCATGAAGCCTTTGAAAAATGACCAATGAAAATAAGAACCTGTCCACCATCTCATTAAAAATATATAACTCATTAGTTATTGTGTTACTGTTAGAGTACAAACACTAAAAGTGTGCAACATAAATATCACTGAATAGTGTTATTTTATGCTAACTATGTCAACTACTGCTATTTACTGCTAAATAGTGATAACTATTGCACACATTTAGTGTTTGTACTCTATGAACTTCTTATTAGCAAAGTAATGTTTTTCATTTGGTGGCCTGGAAATCCTATAATTGTAAGTGGAAAAGTGACACCACAGTTTTGCAAATTTTCTTGATTCTGATTGGCTAACATTTTTTCTCAGATCAGCTGGTTGATAAGATACTTCAAAATCATGAAACTAACTGTGGATTAATGATAGCGAGGGAAAAAGATATGTCTGAAATAAGAAATAATACACCAAAAGATAATGCATCAGGGGTTTATTTGGCAGTTTTTAGCTTAACATTAATTTGTGGAGCTACACACTTCTTATTATGAATGTCGTATGCAGACAATCATATTTTCATTTGATTCTCATCACTGCCCTTTACCACTGACCACTCGTAGCACAGCCAATCAACGTGCGGGGTTTGAGATAGACCATTCAGTGTGTTTGATCTAATTATATAAAAATTATTTATTAATGTACCATAGAACATGAATCTGAATTCGAAATATTGGGTGCAGTGTATGATTAACAATCCGCCAAGAGATTTTGTTTGAGAGACACAGAGACAGAGAGAGAGAGAGAGAGAGAGAGAGAGAGAGAGAGAGAGAGANGAGAGAGAGAGAGAGAGAGAGAGAGAGAGAGAGAGAGAGAGAGAGAGAGATTAAAGACCCTTTTAAAACTGTAACTAAACTTTGATTTGGTTTTAGTGATCAAATAGATGAATTGTGGTTCACTGTTGCCAAAGCTGTAGCTGCAGGTAAACTTGGCAATGCAGCCAAAGTGAGTTCAAAAAAGCCAGATGGTAATAGCCACGTGATCTGCATCTACACCAAAGACTTTACAAAAGAAGATGATGTCAGAAGAGTTGAAAAAGGGATACGAAATGCTGGCATTCTGGTTGGGATGCAGTACAAGCCTGATATATATACGAACTTGGGCATTTATGCCAAAAACAAGTTTGGGATTGCCGCTTCTGTTTATACAAGTCGAGCTGTTAAAAAAGTGTAATTAAGCAAGGAACATGATGTGGACCTCAATGTCTTGGGTGTTATTTTTGTTTTTACTATTCTTTTATTCCAGAACGCAAATTTCTTAACAGGATCCATTGAGATGTTTATCTTGCACTTGATGTATTACGAACTCACAGGAACGAAATATTGTACCGATTATTCTTGAATATAAGAATGAATGTAATTAGAAAGTCATTTAAAACAAGATACACCAGACAAGTTTTCAAGGTATTCATCATTTTATTCATTCATTAAGAATGAACTACTGTTTTTGATATCAAACTTATCAGGCGTTTACTGGTTGATACAACGATTAGCAATTGTTAGCACGGGATCATATTGTTAGTTCAATGTTCCTTCTTTACTCCACAGATAGCATTTGTTGATTGGATTCATTGGACTGTACTTTTTGCACTTGAATGCATTGGCAAACTCGCAGGAATTTGCCAAGGAACCAATAATCCTGTTAAAATGAACAAAGGATCGTGATATCATGTTTGTTGATCCTAGTTGAAGGGTTAATTTCAATAATATTACCAGCCAATATACAAACCTGAATTTATCATCTCCATGATCTCTATTAGTATTAAAGTCCTTTCGATATTTAAGGGTAGAGGTTCCACAAAAGTGCTGTGTATTGAAATAAAAAAATATTAAAAAAACGAAAGAATTAATCCACATTTACTATTTTACCAACCAATTTCACATAAGTATATTAATAAGGAAGTGTCTACTTAAGGATGGTTGTAAATAAAATGAAAACAAAGAAAACACTTTGAAACACATATGAATTAGGAATCTAAAGAAAGGTAACAAACGAAAAACTGACGCTAACCTGTGCAAATCCAATGAAGAACAACTGTTCATTGGTATAATTGAGTCCTGGGAGCAGCCATGTTTTATTGGGATTCGGCTTTGCCCATTTGTAATACGCCTGGAAAATATGTCTACTGATTACGCATGATTCTTACTATGAACAACTTCTCCTTTAACGACAAACATTATTTACAGATCCATGGTACTGCTATGGGAACCAAAATGTCTCCTTCCTTTGCTAACCTTTTCCTTTGCCATTTTCATACTTAATGCCTTAAAACTGCTCCTTTCAAGCCTAATACCTGGCTTAAATATATTGATAATATATTAATGATCTGGACTCATGGTCTAGATAATTTGAAAATTTTCATTGTTTATCTTAACACCCCATTATTAAATTTACTAGTTACTCTTTTAATAACGTCTCTTTCTAAGACGTTAATGTTTCTATAACCAATGGGGTCATTGACTCAGTTCACACCAAAAAAACATCCCTTTAAGTCTAGTCTTTCGTCTTAGACGAATTTATTCTACTGACGAAGCTTTTAAAACTCGTACTTCCGAACTTAAATTGCTTAATTTTATATATCCAGTCAGATCTCCTGTGATCCAGCATTTTTGTTGCTCGTGGCGATTATAAGATTATTTCTTGATTACAAACCTATTCGAAACGATATAAGAAAAATTTTCTCCAAACTGCTGCAAAAAACGACATGGCCGTCGATGGTTCAAAAAAAGAATTTCTTTTTGTCTTTTCTCCAGCAGTAGGCGTTTTGGCCGAAAATTTTATTTTTTGGGATGGATTGTTTTCACCGTCGCATTTTCCCGCGCCCCAACAAGAATTGGCGCCATTCCTATCTCGTCACTTAAATCTTTTTTTCAACAAATACCATTTATGATACCTTGAGTGATGTTTTTAAAGCACCGTTGTCCGCAGCAATCTCTTCAGCTGTTTTATTTACATTGAACTGAATAAAATGACATGCAATCGTTAGTACCATGATTTCCAATGCAAATTATTATGCGGTAAAGATTTGAAAAGCTAGTACTCTTCGTTTAATTCTTACAGGCCATTTTCCTAATATCCTGTACGCGGAGTATTGCGTTTTGTAGCAATTTATTATTTTATAAAATTCTTCAAGCGTTTTATTTGACCACCAGTTTGTCTTTTTTTCCATTCTTGTCATAGGGTCTACCTATGAACCAAACACATAATATCATCAGCAAAATCTATACATTGAATTGAATCTTGAATACAAATACAAGGACTTTAATTTCTTATTGCCAACGAGTCATTCGAGCGAAGACGAGAGTGGCTGAGTGGAAGCATCAAAGAAGCGATGCAATAAAAAGTTATGCAGAATTAATTAATCTTATGCAATGCAATGCAATGCAATGCTTTAATGTTTCGAAAATTGTAGACAATTCTACAGCCCGCTGTATTGTCTACTATGTTGGTGTCGAAGTTGTTGAGAATAACCTTTGTGAAGAAGAAAAAGCCTAAAAAGGATTGATCTAAAAAATTTACCCGCATGGTAAATAGATGGAATTAAATTCCTAAACATTCTTATTTCCTTAGTTAACAGCATTGCACTTTTAATTGATCATTTCATACTTTAAAAATATTTTCTTAGCTGACTTAAGTTACTTACCATTAAGGCCAAAACCGTGCATCATTTCGTGACTAACAGCAAAACCAAGTTTTCCCAAGTTATAAGCTCTGTAATTAAAAGCAATTTACATGAATAGGTCATGTTGATAATATTGAATAGAGGAGCATGTACTGCACACTATTGTTAATTTTTAATTTCCGCAATAAATTGAATGGCCACAAAGCAAAGTACAAGTGCAACATAGGAAATCCCAAAATTTTTTAGAAACGGTGTACAGTAAAAGCAGGAAAATAGTGGTTTAAGCATATTTACCCTGAAACGTATAAAAGCTTTCTTGTTCGCCAATAGACCAGTTTCTAGTTTCAAATTACCGCTGTGTTCCTTGATTACAGACTCATTTGCACAGGGTTAGGTGCCTCGTATCAATGTTTAATTAAATATTCACAAATACAAACGGTAAGATAAAGAATGCACAACTTCAACAATACAAACACTTTGAAACTCGACGGACCTTGACTGGAACATGTGAATATTCTGCACAAAMTSGAGGCTACCCCTGTGCAAATGAGTCTGTAATCAAGAAACACAGATGTAATTTGGAACTCGAAAATGGTCTGTGCACCATAAAACTCGGAAGCGTATAAGCGCCTCCGGGCAATAAAAGTCTTTCAATCTCATGACGTGCGCCAAATGGTGGTCCAAAATGGACCACCATGTGCTGTCACTCATAAAGAATTCTATTAAAAACTTTAGATTCAACCGATTACAATAGACCTTTTCTGAGATACGCGAAAATGGTGCTTTGTTATCTAGCTTCGGTATAAACATCTTTGTCATCATGCTTTATTTGGTGTTGTTTGTACCGAAGCTAGACCACAATGCATCGTGTTTAGCGAACTCAGAAAAGGTCTATTGCACAAGCAGTTTTTGCAAAATAAGACATTTTGCAAAGAAAGTATTAAGAACAAGATCTACCAAAACAATTTGTGCAAATACACTTGCTATTTTAGCTTACCTTAAGAATTCTTTAGGAAATAAAATTATTGGTGGCTGAAGAATGGCTGCTGGGAGAACTTAATTCAGCAAAAACAAAATTGGGGTTAATCAGTGTTTATCCCATTTCAATTTTAGTTATAAATGTCCATTAAAAGTGTATATTACTTACTAAGTTCATTGGCTAGATAACTGTACTGGGCATTTGATCGAAGAGGAGACAAGTCCCACCTGAAGCAAACAGGAAACAACAAAATAATTCGCCCATAAAATCAAAGCATATTAGTAATATTGATTGGCAGTATAAAGCTCAAACATTATAAATGGAGCAACGATGTTTTCTTCAAAAAAATCATATCTTGGATTGAAAAAGGAATTATAAATTTTGAATTTGATCGCCCCGGATCCTTTCACTCACCTCCCATGCTACAACTCTCTCTCTATCGGTCTCTTAGGGAGCTGGTAGAATACTTACAATGCTGTGTCATCTCTTGGAATTCGGAACTCTTTTAATACTTGTTGCCGTTCTCTATTTGTTTTTGAAATATGTATCCTTTCTGATGGTGAGCTAATAAAAGAAGACGTAGTCTGCTGAGTCTATGGTGTAAAACACACTACAATTAACACCAAAACAATGTACTTACGCCCTTGTACTTTTCGAATATCTTAGCCATTTTGGCGCTGTCCAACATGTAATCGGGATAGCCGACTTTGAATTTCATGCCGTCAACCTGT